CCCAGCGCGGCCTCGGCTGCCGCGGAAAAAACAGTAACCGGCGGGGGGGGACGGGGGAGAAAAATAACTCCAGAGGTGGGGAAAGAGAGTGTAGTCAAAGGGGCAACAGTTTATTTATTAGCCAAAAATATATACTTTCTTGTACAATTTGGTTCACACATATGTACATTTTTACCGTATGTACAAAAACAAACAACAACAGTGGCAACAGTTTATTTATTAGCCAAAAATATATACTTTCTTGTACAATTTGGTTCACACATATGTACATTTTTACCGTATGTACAAAAACAAACAACAACAAAAAAAAAAAAAGAAACACCTAATTCTCACTGGACTAATTCTCACGACTTCCAAAAAACCTCACAAACTCAGCTAATCCAGATGATAGTACAGAAGCGGGTATTTTTTTTTCTTTTTTGTTTTAATATACGGACATGCTTACAAGTTGTAACTATACAGAGATTTTTTTACAATCATTACAACAATAAAAAATTAACTATGATGATGACAACGCCGATAGAACCATAGCGGCATCAAGTTGGTTCTGGGGCCTGGAAAAAAAATGACACAGAAAAAAAATATTTAATAGGATTTCTAGTCAGATTGGGCTGGCACAGTATTTTTAACTATAGGTAGCGCTGCTTTTGTTGTTGTTGTTGTTTTATTTTTTTTAAATAGATTTCTAAGTATAAAAAGTTTTCAGAGTGACTTACAGCAAATTCATTTCGCTACGAAAATACCGCGGGCCCGATCCCCGTGGTTTCAGTCAATCAAAGCAGTAATTGATTCCAGTGGCTGCCACGCCAAACTCTGGGCAGCAAGGCTCAGCCTCTGAAGTTTCCGTACTAGCTGGGGGGTTTTATTTTAATTTATTACTCTCCCGCTGCCGCCGTATTCCGCGGCCGCCCGACCCCGAGCGCAGCGGCCGCGCCGCCCCGCCGCCCCCGAACGCAGCTCGGCCTGCCCGCGGGAATCGCCCCCGCAGCCCGGCGGGGAGAACAGCAGCAAAAATACGTAACCAGAAGAACCCACCGCGCACGCAGAGGAAGAACAAGAAACCGCCCTGGAAAGGGAACTAAAGAAGCGGAGAAAATCAGCTAACCATTTACAACTCCCTCTATATATCCTTAGGAGACTGAGGAAGCAATCTCTTACCGCCTCTGCACTGGCTGGAAAGCTGTCTTTATTAACTTTTTCTCTACTTCCAAGGCACTAGATCGATCTAAAAAGAGAAGAAAAAAAAAAAAAGCGTTCCTTTATAGCCCCCGTTTTATTCCCCCCCATCCCTGAATTAAGCCTCTAGACTTAAGATCTCTTCTCGGCGAGTTGCAAATACGACAAAACGACCGCTTTGCTGCAGGAGTGACCGTCGAAAGGAAAATAAACCAGCCCCGGAGCAAGCCTTTCGGCCGGGTCCTTCCCACAAAGACGATTTGAGCAGCAGCAACAACAACAGCAACAAAAATTACCTCCGCCGGAGGAAGGTAATTCTCGGGGTTTTAGACTAACCTGGCGAGGAGGCCCACCCCGCC